TTCAGTGGTGGGATGGGAGGGAGTGGCGGTGGGCGAGGCGAGAAGGAAGGAGGGGCTGAACTCTGGAGGGATTGAGGGAGTTGAGTGGAGGACGAGGACTTGAAGGAGTGTTAGACGGTGGAGTGAAGAGGTGAGGGTGAGGGAGTTGAATGGCGGAGAGGGTATTGAGAGGGAAGGTGGAAGGAAGTAAGTGATGGAGAGAGAGAAAGTGAGGAGGGTGTGGTGGAGGGAGATGGAAAAAGGGAGTAGCGGACGGAAGACATGGCGAGGGAGGGACATGAAGGAGCGATGAGAGAGAGGGGGCGGGAGAGAGAGGGCACCTTCCCTCATCGTCCCTCCTACACGTCTTCCCCAAACTTTCCAACACTGCCTCACCACCACCAACCTGGGTCCTCCCTAGGTCACAACAATGTTAACACACAAACATAATAAAATTACAAGTGTTTACTGAATGAAACGTCAGATATAGATAGTGAACGCAGAATCCACATAATCCTCTTAGCCTACCCCCGTATTGATGCTCGGTACGCAATAACGGCTGAGTGAAGATACATAAACTTTCTTTCTATTCTCATTAAAGATGGAGTGAAGGGAAGGTGATGGTGGGTGTAGAGGAGAGGAGTATGGGTGAACCCTCCATCCAGCCGGACATTCTTCTATACAAACATTTGATCCATCGTCGCCTCACCGCCATTGTCCCTCCCAAACTACAACATATCAGTTTATGGCAAAATATCACCCCTTACGTTAAAATCTTTAAATCCTTTGGGAGATACAGGTTTAGAGTTTGGAGAAATAAATGATAATATATTTCGTCGCGTACGGCATTGCGAAAGAAGTTCTAACTGCCGAAAGTAATAATTTTAACCCAGGCCTCCCAGGACTCCGCCCACCATGTTGTGGCCTCACAAAATACTACCTTGGTTAACCATTTACGAAACAAGGAAAAATTCACAATAAAGGATTACTCCAAAACCAGCAATTTAGAAAACAGCCAAAAGACGGAACTTTTCAATCAGAGTGCGGCAAGAAGATAATATGACATGTATTGCCGACGGATACGGGTGGGTATCTGGGGTCATTCCCCGAGATCTTCGCCCCTATTTACAGGCGCTGGGAATGGGTTTTTCCGCCCAAGTCAAGAAATTGGTTTGAGCCAGCGCGAGGTCGTTAGTGCCAGAGTGTGAGTGCTTTATTACCGGGATTCTGAAACATGTCTTAAGCCGCTGTTGGCCTCCACTACATGGGACGTGTCCATCTCTACCTCACTCGACACCATCACTGTTGTTATTATGTTTCTTTAGATTAAATATCGATACTTGTATTATTGGACACAACTCTTGGTAGGATATTACTTGAGTATCCACGAGTTAGGCTGTAGAGAGGGTAGAGGGCACTTGAGGATCGGTGTGATGGTCGTTATGTGGTTGGTGTGGGGGGCGATGGGGGGGCAGAGGTTTAGCCAGGAACATGTGTGGCCGCGTCACTGCCTGACCCACCACCACCGCACCTCCCAACTTACCTTCCCATCTCACCGCTGAGGAATATGTTGAGCACAGTATCATTATTTATGCTAAAAACAAACACGACACATTTTAGTACTGATATATAAAATCTTAATAATTATGTTTGCAAATTATACTAAGAGGCAGTAACCAACCCATCCATCATTGTGACGAGAACAGTGTGTGAACGAGATGGTGTTTCGGTGACCAGACCGACTGCTAGCTGATGGTGTTATTGAGCACCACCTGAGACAGCCTCTGTTGCTGCAGTCAACTGATGGTCTGGCGGTGGTGGGTAGAGGAAGGGGAGAAGAGTGTGGGGGGGGGGGGATGTTATTTGATGACAAGTGTCTCCAACTCACCTCTGCTAAGCTTCTCCGTCCTCTCCTCGTGTAATTTTTTTTATTTCTCTTGACGTTGCAGTTTTTATCTTCGGTGTTGTTGATCAACTTCTTCATGTTGATGTTTTCATAAGTTTCTGTCATCGACCTTCCGAGCACCAGCCAACACACCCACACGAGCTGCACCTGCAAGAGGGTTTCCTATTATGCATATTTAAGATTATATTGGTAAAGTTATGTTGATTTTCATTTCACATACTATAGTCGTGATATTTGTTATGACGTGGATTTCGGTACAGTTAGTGAGCCTGACATATTGTTTGTGAATATTGTTTTAATTCAATTTCAATTGTTTATTCCTTGATAGTGGAAGCGGGATCCTCGTGCTGTCACTGTTTTATTTACGTGTTTGTTATGTTTGTATTTATATATATATATATTTATCTAGTTGTTTATGGTTTTGCTTCTAATATGTATAACACTTACTTGGATTAAAGTTCAGTGACTATATATTCATATTCAAAAGATGTCGTAGATCACACTATACTCTCTACTTTTAATTTTTTCCTGTTCTTATTTTTTCGCCCTCCCAGGCCCCGTTGTGGGTCGTTCGACCTGTGCCCGGGTGGGCTAATTCCCGTAAAAAAAAAATGGTCTCTCTACCGGTTACTCTGTCTCTGCAACAATACAGGAAATTGATAGACTTGTAACCCTGACTGACCGGCAATACACACTTCCCAGCCAAGTTGTCTCCCGCAAGTTTGTTTGGACGTTTACCAGAACTAAATCGCCGAGGACCAACCCCACCCCCCAGGAGGTCAACTAAGGTACAAACCGGGGTGTAAGGGAGGTGCCCAATAAACTAGTCCCTACGTAAATCTGAATCTGGTGTCACAGCCTCGGATTTATGCCTTAGCGTCATAATTAACATATCTTTGGTGCTGTAACATACTTGTTTATGTCAGTGTTACAAAGGAAGCGTTAAAGGATCATACGTCTCGCACACAATGGAGGTGATATAAGATTTGCACGTCTTTGTCACGTCGTTAAGATATTGTTTATGTCAGTAATACAATGGAACTGAGGTGCTTTTATAGTGGTACTTTTAACGTACAGTTCATGATTGTGTTACCAAAACCTTAAGTGTTCCTGATAGGCCTGCTTATGTTCATTACTGATAATTTATCATAAGTATTGCAATCTTTTATTAATCTGTTTTCAGTAGATTAATGATTCTTAAATAATTGTGGGCTTCCCTGGTAGTGTGTCTGTCACGTGTGTTGTCTAAGGGCAGCGCTGGGAATAGCGGTGCTAATAAACGTTAGCGCCGCTAATTTTCAAAGTTGTTAGCGATATTTTTATTTTTTTAGAGAAAATCAATGGCTAATCGCTAACTTGCCAAACCCAATTGCACTAAAAATTTGGTTTCTGGGTGCAGTGTACATTTTAAACGACTGAAGCAGTACTAATTGCAAGTTGTAATGTGATGGTCTTGCTGTGTATTCACGGTTCTGCTTGTAGCAAGACAAGTTGCTGTCTGTTGCAAACGACGGGCGGTCAAGCATAACGTCGACTCGGGTCTGGACATTAGTAGTTAGTATCTGTCCATTATAGATATGTGTTTTGCATATGTTTCTCTCTCTATGTATGAAAGGCATAATGAAAGATCAGGCCTGTCCGACTCCAACTGAAATTTGACTGTTAAAAAATAACACATCTGTGAAGTAGCTAAACAAGTCAGATAGTTTAAGAGCACTAATCACCTGATGGTTTTATTTATTTAGAAAATAATGCAATTCGTCACGGCATTATGTCACTAATATACATCTTTGTTCTATAATTTCATACCTTCTCACAGTGTGTATTTGCATTTATTATACATCTATAAATTGAATAGTGTTTATTCATCCTTTCATGGGGCTGTTTCCCCTTTGTATAAGAAAGGAACTCCACTATTGTTTATGTAAATTACTGAAGACAGAACATACACATAAATGATTAATGCTAACTGGTACTAAACTTAGGAGTTAGTGGGCACAGTGCTGCTTGAGGGACACTGTAGGCCAACACGTGCAGCTGCTCAAGTTACGGTTCGTTGTCTGATCTCCGGTAAATAACTTTATCATTCCGCAGTTTTGTTCTGAAAACCTGAACCTTGGAAAAACCCTCCCTACAAAACTCCCTACTGTACACTAGTAGTATAATCTTCCTCGGGATTGTTTAAACTGTAGAAACCACATTCAAGTCATTCACAGTGAAATTAATAGAGAGTGCGGCATCCTGTACCGCACTCGCTACTCTCATTACCTCAGCATATAAGAGAAGTTTGTTATGGATTTATTTAACAAATATTTGATTTATTGTCATACAGTATGGGGGCCTCGGACACCACCAGGACACAACCTTTGGGTATGGTACTGATCTGCTAACAACGACCACTCTGTTTACTAAATTGAAGATGTTAAAATTTGAGGATATTAGTACTTACTGCTATGCGATATTTGTGTGTAAATCAGTTAACCGCCTGCAAACTGAGAAAGACTATTCCCATTTCTGGACAAACTAGAGGTGTTTCCATATATTAAAAGACATCTCTCTAATGTCTAAGTATCAGAGCCCAAGCTTACTTACTTCAGCTCTCAGTATTTCATAAAAAAAAAAAACTGCCCCATTCTTTACCAACCTCATAGATAATAAGTCCACTTTAGTTCTGAGGATTTTGACTCAGGCCCTCCAGCTTCCCGGGGCCACAAACAGTACGTCTTAACCAGCATATAATAAAGCTTATAACATTTACCCCTTTGATAATTAGCCACCTGTTTTATTTACTATATCATAAAGACCGGGATGACATTTACTCCTATTTTGACAATTACCACAACCAATGATTGAACTATTTTACCATAATGCCTCGATACTCACTATGGGCTCAACCAGGTCAATATTCTTGTTATTGTTCAGTGTTTATCTTTCTGGTTAAATCAATTGTTTTAAGTTCAATTCATCTGTAAACTTAACATTCTGAAGCGTTGATATGAAACTTAACCCTCTGAAACTTTGATCTGAAAACTTAACCCTCTGAAACTTTGATCTGAAAACTTATCATTCTGAAACTTTGATCTGAATACTAATACTTATTTCCTGTTCTTTGTAGATGGTGGAAGTGTCATCAGGTCCTTGGAGCGTGAGATGAACACAACGCAGCTGGTAGGTGGGAGGATGTTTCACCTTAATGATATTGACAAGAGAGGGAAATTGGAAGAGAGAAAAGGAAAGAGAATAGAGAGAGAAAAGAAAGAGAGGAAAAGAGAGAAAAACGAAAGAGAAGAAGAGAGAGAGAGAGAGAGAGAGAGAGAGTTCAAATGACATATTACGATCTCGTATTGGTATCTCTTGTGTGTGTGTTTGTGTTTGCCCTCGTTTTTTGCATATTTTTCACATCTAAATATGTGTACAAGTATGTAAGCATCGACAAAATAACGTAAAAGAAAAAAGTCTGATTTATTTTCCTGGCGCTGAACGGATGGAGGAAGTCAGTTAAGGGAAGGTCAAGGTCACTGGGAGAGGTGTGGGGGAGGAGTTGAAATCGTTGTCTCGTCTTAGTGAGTCAATAGTTATTATTATCTTGTGTGAGTGTGTGCAAAATAAAGTTAATGAAACAACATACTAAATGATCCCTGAGACTAATAATATCTTGTGTGAGACACAGAACACAATGACAAAAAATAAATAATTCTAGACACCGTTCGTCTCTTATTTTTTGCGAGGATAGAATTCCTGGCCGAAAACCAACACGTCGAGAGGATGCACGTGAATCAGATTAGCCTCAGGTTCCAAAACCCCGAAGCTTCGACACCTTGATACTCACACCGACTCCTTCCTCGCCAGTGAATGTTTTTTTTTTTTAGGAGCTGGCAGAAAACATTGCAGCAAAACGATAATGGGAACTATGTGGAAGGTATGTAAGATAAAACAAGTCGAGTGAATGTACTTGTACCAGATGAGCTATAAGGTTCAAAGCCTCGTAGCCTCGAAACCTTGAATCAATTATCAACTGCTTCCCCGCCAGTAAATAGATGATTACCGCTGTTTTGTTCATATATATATTTTGTAAGAGACGCAGAAAAGTGCAGCTGAGTGATGATAGAGACTAAGTGAAAGGTGTGTGTGTGTGTTCGAGAGGTGAGGAGGAGGGCAGTCACCCCTCCCCGTCAGGTGGAGGAGTCTGGTGACCAGCCGACAGCGACGCCCCGTAACCTGAGACCTTCCTGCAGGGTCGCTTAGTAGACCCGCCGCCAGGCTCTGCCACGCCAGGGTAGCCAGGCAGGGAGAGCGGCAGGGGGATGGAGGAGGAGAACGCGCGCGCGTGTACGTGTGTGTGTGTGTGTGTGTGTGTGTGTGTGTGTGTGTGTGTGTGCGACTTCAGTTATAGAGGAAATTGGTGAGAAATCATAAATCAAACAAAATCTTGTACGAATATATGTACAGTATGTATGTATGGATGGATGTATGTATGTATGTATGGATGTATGGATGGATGGATGGATGGATGGATGTATGGATGGATGGATGCATTTCAGGCTGTATCTAAAAAAGTTGGGTAAGTGATAATATTTTGTCTTTCATTAGACAAAGGTCATAGAGGGAGATGAGAATGTCTTTGAAGTTTGGGATAATTCTAAGAGATGATTCAACTCTTTTGGGATTTTAATGTGATTATATTTTTATTCTGCATTCATTTTAATTTTTTATTTGTACCTACTTATACTTGTACAGTACCTGTACCTGTTCTTGTATCTATACCTGTAGTACTTGTATTGGGTGCATGTACCTGTACTTGTATTTGTACCTGTACTTGTATCTTTACCTGTACTTGTATCTGTATCTGCACCTGTACTTATTGTATCTGTACTCTCATGTGTACCTGTACTTGTATGAGTGCCTCTGCTTATACCTGTACATGTACTTGTTATTCCTATATGTGTTCCTGTACTTGTAGTTATGCCTGTATTTATATCTGTAATGTTGTTTCTGTATGGAAGATGGCGATGACGTCTGATTAATCTGTGATTTTTAAACCCCATGAGTACGATTCCGGCCCCTTGAGTACGATATCAACCCCTTGATGCCAGCCCCTTGAGTATTTTGAATTAGCCCCGCAGATTAAGATGGCCTAATCCTTTCAGCACAATAACTTAATCCCTTTGAATACGCTAATCCATGCCGTTGAGTAAGATGTCATCGTACTCATGAGGTTAAGTTGGTTGTCATGGCCAACTACGAGGGGAGTGGCACCAGCTGACCAGTGCACTTGTTACGTGTGGTACAGTTGCGGAAATGTGTTCCTACACCCCCTGTGGTAGCCCGTGTCTCCAAACGGCACCGTCACAGTAGTAGTATCACTATTTATGAATGAATGGATATGGGTTTTGTAACGACGGACGTGATTGGTGAATATGTTTACTATAGGTCATATTGGTTGGCCGTTTAGAGATACGGGTTACCACAGGGGGGCGTAGGAAAACATTTCCGCAACTGTACCATCTGTAAGCAGGGAGGTAGGAAGTAGATGTAGCCAGCCACAGGTAGGGGGATGGGAGTGCTGGGGTGAGGGATAGGAGTGCTGGGGTGAGGGGACAGGAGGGGAGGGGTGGGGAAGGGAGGGGAGGTGTACAGTTCCAGGGTTGTGGTCCAGCGTTCCTCCTGTAATTCTACCCTTGGTCTCTGATGTAACACCCCGCCTCCTCCTCCTCCTCCTCCTATCCCGTCCTTTCACCTGCCTGTCACTCCCTCCTCTCCTATCTCACCCCATGCCACTCCCTCCTTCCTCTTCCTCCTGAACCCCTCTTATCCTTACCCTCTACCTCACTGTGACTCCATCTCCCTCCTCTTTCTCGGCTCTCCTTCTTCTCCACCCTCTCTCCTCCTATCCCGTCCCTTGTCTCTCCCCCCTTCCCCTTTTTTGAAGAGAAAGAAGGGATTGAAAGATGATTACAGGAGGAGGAAAGTTATTTGTTCGAAAATTTAATAAATTGAGTTGGAAGTAGGAGGAGGCGGGCTGCCTGCCTTGCTACGGGCTGACTAAGCTAATAGTGTGTTAAAGTTGTTTCTAAGTGCTAGTTATCGTGGGTGATTTTCTTGAAGGTGATTTACTGATTGGTTGTCTGCTTTTGGCGGCTCTGGCACTATAGACAACCCACCCTATCCCATTTATGGGTGTTTTGAGGGTTACATTTCATATTCCGCCGACCCTAATGGCGGATGCGGTCTATGGAGGTTGTTTACAGTATTGCTTGGCCGTGTTGATTGGGGGTGGTAATGGACTTCTTGAGGTTTGGTAACTTTTTGGTAATCATCTATGGATGTTGTCGTTGTCTGGTGGGAGTCTTTGTAGGACCTCTTCCTCTGATTTTTTTTTTATAGCGGCTGGTTAATGGGTCTTATTCTCAGGTCTGTGAATTTTGGCTGTGGTTCTGTTGAAGGGGTATCTTTCACCTGTGATGAATCTCAAGGCTTCGTTTTGGACCACCTGTAGTTTTAATATTTGGGTGGGGCTTATAGTATGAAAAGGTACTGCTGGTTTAGTTAATATCGTTATGATATGTGATGTAACCAGGCGGAGTTTTATTTTCTCAGGAAGCGGGTTAAGTAGTATAGGATTTTCAGCTCTTCGCTTTTATCTTCCTGGCGTGGCCATGATGGGAGTAGCCCGTCGTGGATATATGCAGGCCCAGGAGGGTGACTGCTCTTGTATTCTATTTAGGCATTATTGGTTACTAATGGATGGGTTTTCCTTATGTATAAGGGTATCACTGTGAATGTGGAGAGACTGGTTTTGATTTTCCATTTTTCTTTATAGCTATTCACCCTTTTATACTTCCCGTTTGGTGATGTCGACCTGTAGTGCTTCGATTTTCCTCTGTGTGATGTTATTTGAGTGATGTCATCTGCATACATAATATCTTCGTTTCCTTTTCTGGTGGGAGGCGGGGTGTCACTTGTGTAGATGATATATAGGGTGGGAGAGAGGACGCTGCCCTGACGGACTCCGCTCTGAGTGGGAAGGTCTCTCCTCTGTGTTGTCACACGCTCAGTCTAACATTTCTGCCGTCAAGAAAGTTGTAAAGCAGCTTTTTGATTGCTGGCGGGTAGTCCGAGTTGGAGGATTTTATGTTTTAGACTTTCATGCCACACTTTGTAAAACGCTAAGTCTCGGAGACTTAGGGTACATTGACTACCACTTGCTACGGTTCTCGCTGTTGAGGTGGACTTCCCTTTCCTGATTCCAAATTGTCTGTTGATTGTTTCCTGGTGAGTGCTAAGATTATTGATGATTTTTTCAAGAATTTTTCCAGGTACTTCGAGGAGGGAGATCGTTCTGTAATTTATTGGGAAGGCTGTATTCCTCCTCCTCCTGAACCCCTCCTATTCCGCCCCTCCACGTCCCTGACACTTCTTCCTCCTCCACCTCTCTCCTATCCCGCTCCTCTATCTCCATATCACTCCCTCCCTCCACCTCTTCCCCTCCTCCTTCTCCACTTCCTCCTCTCACCTTCTGTCACTCCCTTCTTCCTCCACCTCCTGAAACCACCCTATCCCTCCCCTCCCTCCCCGTCACGCTCTCCCATTACTCCTGCATCCCTCCCTTCTCTCCTCTCCACCTCTGAACCCTCCATCTTTCTCCCCTTTCCTCCTTTTGCCATCTACCTCTCAATCCTCCATCCTCTTACCCTTCCTCTCCCTTTTTCAATCTCCTTCTCCTTCCTCTTACCTCCCCCCTTCCTCTTCCTTCTTCTCCTCTCCATGAGCCCATCCCCTTGCCCTCCCTCCTCCTTCCTCTTCTCCAACTTCCTTCTCCCCCTCCATCCCCTCACCCTCCCTCTTCCTCTTCCTCCTTTCCATGAGCCCATGCCCTCCCTGCTCCTCCCACCTGCCCTCCCTCCCACTCACACCTTCTCCACCCTTCGCCCTCGCCTCTTAATATAATTCCATAAGTCTTTGATCACGTTTTATCCTTCATTTAATATTTACATAAAATCTTTTCTCTATATTTTAGTTGTATGTAAATTTTCTTTATGTATAATTGGCATTCTACTTCATACTACTACAGTAATTTACATTTTACGACGTGACAGATATTGTAATTTTTTTTCATTTAAAAGCTCTGATTTTTTTCATTTGTGTTCACTTTTTGTCAGAATGTTATA